CCGTATCAGACTACGCATTGAAAATTGAAGATTGAAGATTAAAGATTGGAATTTAACTAATCAGAACAAAAAGGACTAAAATTTCTTTATTCTGATTGGTCAAATTTCAATCTTGAATCTTGAATCTCAATCTTCAATGCGTAGTCTGATACGGGCATAAGGGCCACCGCACAAGCTTTTCCGTAATGCATTACGTTACGTTAAGTACTGATTCTAAGGCCCTACGCACAATAGAGAAAATATTAGGAATAGGAATAAAATATTAAATATCAGGAGGAACAATTTGGAATTATTTTACTTCAAACAAGGGAACAGAATGGATTAACGCATAATGAAATAAAAAAATAAAAATTAGAAATAATTAATCCATCCCGTTTCCTTGTTTGAAGTAAAATAATTCCAAATTGTTCCTCCTGATATTTAATATTTTATTCCTATTCCTAATATTTTCTCTATTGTGCGTAGGGCCTTAGAATCAGTACTTAACGTAACGTAATGCATTACGGAAAAGTTTGTGCGGTGGCCCTTAGCGAACGAACACCGAACGCGAACGTCTTGTGAAACTTCTTGAACGTTTTTCTCGCACGAAATGTCTTTGATGTACCACCTCATGAGGAGATCGAGCCGAATGCGAATCGAACGTTCTGTTCGCATTCGCTTTGGCGTATATATCTGCTGAATGATAACAACGAACGTTCGCATTCGCTGTTCGTTCGCTAAGTATATACCCACCTTAAGAGGATTTTTGTTTTTATTTTTATTAACGCCTTTGTATTACCACTTAATGCCATACATTATATTCCGTATACATTATACACTAGGTTCTGGCCGTATTGACCCTCGACCGAGGACAGGTGCCATTTAAGAAAAAAGAAGAAGAAGCACTACAGATTTCATTTTTATTTTTTCTACTGGCTTTATTCGATGTTGAATATTTATCAGATAAAGTTAATGTTCAGCTAAGTTCGAATATTCCTCGTTCAATATTATTCAAGGATTTTGTACAAATATAATGGCTACAAATAACGAAATAACTACAGATACACTTTGGGTAAACTCTTGATTTCAAAACATACGACTTTATATTGAAATGCTTCTTAATTTAGTTATATTATAATTTACTTATATTCGTCTTCCCAAAAAATTTTTGAAATTTGATATTAATACTAAAGAAATTAGTTTTTTGATCTTTTGTTTTAATTCATTTAACAGAGATATAAAAATTTTTTGTATATTTATTTTTCAGAAAGAAATGGAGAGTCTTGCTGTTGAACAACAACAACGCTTCTATGAATTACTTCCTGATTGCATAGAATATAAATTTGACGAACATAAATACCTACGACAAAATATTGGTTATGCAATTTATGGATTACCAATCAGCAATTCAAGTATAACAGAAAACATTAGTTGCTACTGGAAACCAGAAGATTCAAATGATACAAATGCAGATATAGCCGATACAGTGAATTATGATGAAAAAGCTAGAAGTGTCATAGATATAATATATAATAAAATACATGAATGTACAATAGGAAATAATAATACTCAACCAATTTACTTTGGTATAATTTACAATATAATATTTCGTCCTAAGATGAATGTAGGACTGAAGAAAAAAGAAGTAAAAAAGAAAAAAACAGAAGAATCAGTAAAAGAAGAAGAAAAAGAGTCTGCAGTATTACCTATCCCCATTTTTAAAGTTAGGAGAAATATTCAGAAGAAATCTGACAATGTAAAGAGATCAGAACAAAAAGAAAACACAAAAATGGAAGTTGAAGCAGATTATGGGATATGGTACATTGATATTTGTGGCAGAGTGTATAAAAGTTGGGCAGATTATATAGAAAATAATAATTTACCAGAATGCACTATGGTTGTTCCCAAAGATGGCTTTTATCAAGCAAATTTATCTTATCCAATAACAGAAGACTATTCAACAGTTTGGCTTGAAGTCATAAATTCTCCCGCATGCACGTGGACAACAAGAATCTGCAGTGGAATGGATGTTATTTCTAGTATTACCGGATTTGGCACAGCTGGCTTATGTGTTGCATCATTGTTCACATCTCTTGCACCAGCTGCTGTTATAACAGGTAAATTATTACAAGATGTAATTGATGCAATATCAATTTGTTATATATGTTAAGCATTGATTATATAATTTTTATAATTTATTATTTATTTTATCAACATATAATAATTACAGTATGAATTTATAGGACATTTCCCATTATATTTTGTTTTGAACATGTTCTACAATATTTATTATAGGTCTTGTTGCTAATGGTGCAAGTAGTATTTGGACAGTCGCCCGATCTTCTCAGCAATTGGCAGACCGTAAAAGTCACAAGGAATCTATTGATATTTTGAATAAAGATGCATTACCTCATTGGATTGGCATAACTGGTACAATATTTGGTTTAGGAATAGTTGGAGGATCAGCTGCTCTATCCAAAGCTGCTGCAAATGCTAAAACGGTACCCACTTTTGCAAAAGTGGCATTTAATACTGTACAAGGTGGCACTCTATTCTTGAATGGCGCTGGTATCATATATCAGGGTTACAATATGATAGATAAATATATGACAGACAAGACTATCGATAAGATAGATGCGTTATATATGGCAATACATATTATGTTTTTCACCGGCGCCGTAGTAAAGATTCAATTCGCCAACGATATCATTGAGAGCACCCAAGGTAAAATCATCAATGATTACAAAGATGCTTTGCGTGAGAAAAATCTCCGCAAGGAGTTTAATCGCATTGCGCAAAGAGCTGCCGAGAATAATGCATGTAAAATATCCGAGAATGCGGAAGTGATAAAATATATAAAACATCATGAACAGATATTATCTGTTAAGCTGCCTGTTAACCAGTCTGTTACTCATGATCAAATATTAGACAAAGCTCCACATAATATGGTATGGTCATTTGAACAGGGTAAACTAAAATTAATTGGTTTTACATTGTTAGATCCTATTGAATATGTTGTTCGTCTTATGAAATCGGATATATTTAATGAAAACTATAAAAACAATCCATCTGGTTCCAAGAACTATGTTGATGATTCTACCACTGATCAGTTAAGAAAAGTATTTTGTGATTTATTAGACAAGTTCTATCTGAGCGATGCTTGTCCCAAGAGCATGAATCTTCCATTAATTCCTGACTTTGAACCACTTTTTAAAGATATGAGTCATATGAAAATTGATGAAGAATGTCTGAAAAAACTGTTTAAAATCGTTGAAAAGTTAATGAAACGTTCTAGAAATAAAGAAGATTTTTTACTCATGGCTTTTGCCTTTGTCTGGCAGTATAGTAAAGCAAATTTGAAGCAATGGAAAATGGACTTGCATGATCGCATGCAGAGCAATTTAGACTCCAACATTTTGCAGAAAATTATTATCGCTGTTTCTGAAGCAATCGATATGATACTTAATAATCTTTGTAGTGCCTTTGCGGAATATGTACAAGTTAATTTATGCAAATAAATCGATTATATTCTAATATGGAAAACGAAAATTAGAAATAATGCGTGATATAACCTTGTAGAAACAAGTCAATAATTTTAGAGAAATATATTGCATCAATTGATAAGCTAATAGAAGTTTTAGTTTTGAAATAAAATTGTATATATATATATAATCCATTTAATTTTGCTTAATAATAAAGAAATTAATATTTGTAAGAAGAAATATATATGTATGTATTTATGTATATAATATGTACTTTTTTTGGCAAACACCCCCAAGCGCAACCGGAAATAGCACTTTTCAACTAGTAGTTACTATCCTTCGCGATTGAGCGACGGAAGAAACTCTTGCCGCGCTGCAAAAAGTGACGCGGTAGCCAATCAACTTACAATTTTTCCATTAGAGCGAAAAATTGATTGGCTACCATATCGCCTTTTACCACGCAGCAAGCGTTTCCGCGTCCTGTGTGCAGCAGCCATTAAGGTTCCTTTACATGGCAGCGTCGAGCGTTAAGCGTCTGCGCAGAATATTGTTGCCCAGAATTATATTTCATTTATTTTATTATATAACAGATGTGTGTGTGTGTGTGTGTGTTATTATTAATCAAAGATATATTATGAAACGTTACTACTCTGGCAATGTAAATTAAAATAAAATTAAAATACAAATGCAGCAAGAGATTTTGGATGGTTGAAATATTCAAATAAATAAGACACAAAAAGGAATTCACAAATGACAAAACGATACAGTTTGAAAAACTATTGTTAAAAGTAGGAAATGATTTAAAGGAGCAGTATGTTATAAACATGCAGGAAAAAATATGAAAATTATATCTCTTAATCCTTGATTAGATTCTAATATTCTGCTGGGGGATAGTAACGTTTTATATATATTTTGTTTAATAATAATAATATCTATTGTGTATAATGTAAATAAATATCAATTTTCAGTATTAGTAATGTGTATCAGAACATAATTTTTTTTATCTCGACCGAATTCATATCACTCATCATGCTATTAGCCGCAAGAAGCTGGAATCTATCTCATTTAGATTCCTGCGCAATGATTTCTGCGCAAACGATCGATGCTCGATGCTGCCATGTAATGGCACCTTTAGCGATCTAGTAGTATAGACATTTGTGACCCAGGGACTTTTGTATTTCTCGAAATTATAGTGCCATTTTTATGTTGGCTATTCTGTTTCTAGTTCTTTTCAACACTTCACGTTCCAACAGCACCTTCTTCATCTTTTTACGTTTCTTTTTCTTGCTGAAAGGAAATCGAATCAAGATGGTTAGTAAATGTGTAAAATAATAATCCGAATTTATGTAAAACATCAATGGCTAATGTATTTCGATTATTTCATAAAAACTATGCAATAGATACGATTTAATCAATAGATAGTTAATTTTTCTTTCAACTTTATTGGCAAGAAAAATTGTATCACGTAACCTATTCGAAACACCGTCACAAATAGCGTCACGATTGTTAAATTATGGATTGGGCGAAAAATAAAAAAAGCATTTTTCTCTGGATAGAAATTACCTTTTGAAAAAAATAAAACAGTTAATCAGATTTCTAATAATAATGTGTGTAACATTTCAAACTTCAATAGTGTATAATACATGAAGATACATTCAACATGTGTTGAATTATTTTAGGCGAAGGTAAAGTGTTCCGAATTAAGGACCAAAGACAAGAAGGAGTTGCTGAAGCAGCTCGAACAGCTCAAGACAGAATTGACCACTTTAAGAGTGGCTAAAGTAACAGGAGGAGCTGCGTCAAAATTATCCAAAATGTAAGTTCTCTATGTAAAGCTAATTTTATATATAGTCTTTAATTTTGTACAATATAAGTTACATATTTCTATGAATTTCTTTAATTTTTATTGCAGTCGTGTCGTAAGGAAGGCTATTGCACGAGTGTATATTATTATGCACCAGAAGCAAAAGGGAAATCTCCGCTTATTTTATAAAAACAAGAAATACAAGCCTCTTGATTTGAGGCCCAAGAAAACTAGGGCTCTGCGTCGTGTTCTTACTCCCTATCAGGCAAGCAGAAAAACGCTGAAGGATATACGCAAACGCTCTGCATTTCCACAGAGAAAATACGCTTTGAAGGCATAAAATGTATGTTTTTAATTAATACAAAAAATAAAAATTTCATAACAATATTGAGTTATTTACAAAAAAAAAAAACTAGTGATTATGATTTTTTTCATGATCTTAGAAAGGTATTCTCTTGACACAGATTTAGATACAAGAGGAAAATTGTATCTGCAAAACTATTCAAGGCACTGTATATTTATAAAGCAATTCTTTAGACAAAAATCTTACACTTGCACTTTTACAAGAAATTGATACAGAAGTTTAAAAAAAGGCCTAAAATCTTTTATATACAAGTATTATATCCTATGTCACTATATATTGCACAAATATGATATTTTATTATTATAATAAGATTAAAATAAATTTATTATTCATGATTACACAGTAATTAGTCTTCCAGAGCACCATGGACATGGATGAAAGTTAGGTTCTATAATACATGCATCTTTACAGTCTTTGATTTCTGACAAAACATCGAGAATTTCCGACGCCGTTTTATCTTCAATCAATGGTAATTCTGTATGAGTTATTTACAAAAAAAAAAACTAGTGATTATGATTTTTTTCATGATCTTAGAAAGGTATTCTCTTGACACAGATTTAGATACAAGAGGAAAATTGTATCTGCAAAACTATTCAAGGCACTGTATATTTATAAAGCAATTCTTTAGACAAAAATCTTACACTTGCACTTTTACAAGAAATTGATACAGAAGTTTAAAAAAAGGCCTAAAATCTTTTATATACAAGTATTATATCCTATGTCACTATATATTGCACAAATATGATATTTTATTATTATAATAAGATTAAAATAAATTTATTATTCATGATTACACAGTAATTAGTCTTCCAGAGCACCATGGACATGGATGAAAGTTAGGTTCTATAATACATGCATCTTTACAGTCTTTGATTTCTGACAAAACATCGAGAATTTCCGACGCCGTTTTATCTTCAATCAATGGTAATTCTGTATTCTCTTGCTTTTCATTTTCAGAGAGTGCAGAATTGTCAGCATTGATTTCTGTAAAGAATATATACACATAAGTATGAAAATATCTCAAACATTATTTAAAAATACAAAAGAGATTCTTCTATTAAATATATATTTACGTTTATGATAGTCCATACAAGTTTCTGTAGAATTTATCAATGTTTCAGGATGTTTTTTAAGCAATTCAGTTACTAATACTTTTAATTTATGTAATTGTTCTTGTTGCTGATTACGTTGCTCTAATAATTGACGGAAGGTTTGCTCTCTTTCCTTCCATCTCTCTCCTAGAATTGCTCGTTGTTTTTGATATAAAGTAATGTATTCTCCTGTATAAATATATGCAATTAATCAAGATAAGCCGATCTTATAATCTATCAATGCAGCTCTTATATACAAAAAAAAACTTATATTACTTAATATCACACATATGTACATGAAGATAAAAATTAATATTTTTAAATAATTGCATGCTACAAAATACCTGAAAAATTAATATTAATTCTTTGATTAAAAATATAGCTTACCTATAGTTTCTGTTTCACCTTGGAGTTGAAGAACAAGATGTTCCAATTTCTGTTTTTCATCAGTTAATTCAGCGACTTTTTCCATTGTTTCTTTAAACCTCTTTTCTAATTTTATAATAAGCTCAGAATCGTTTAAAGCATTTTTATTTTCTGGCAGTGGTAAGTTTTGCATTGTTACAATATCATCATAGTTTTGTTCATTCTTAATTGTAGACTGATCTTTGTTAACATTCTCAGATTCTTCGGACAAACGTGTTTCTTCTTGCACTTTGTTTTCCAATTTCTTTGCAAGTTCTTCATTTTCTTTTTTTAAGTTCTCTATACAAATCTGTAATTTGTAAATTGTAAATATGTAAATGATATTGCTATAACTTTATTATAAAGTTAAATTACATTGTTTTTATATGGAAAAAATGTAAGGATTATAAATAATTTAAATTAACAAATTATTAAGAATTTCAGAAATTACCAAAGTATTTTGTAGTTCTTGTTGAAGTGTATGGGCATGATGAGATTGAGCTTGATAATGTTGCATTTGATCTGCAATTTGAGCATTTAGCAATTTTTCTTTTTCCAATTCTATTAAAGATGTTTCTTTTTCCTTCAGTTTTTCTTTCAAATTGTCCATTTCGGTTTCAACTGTATTCAATCTTGCATTTAATTTTCTGCCAATATTTCGTTCAGCTTGAAGTTGTTCTGTCAAATCTAATTTGTCATTACTCTGAAAAAACAGGATAATTATAAATTTTTTTTAAACTAGATGAAAATATTTGTTTAATAAACAAATATATACTACAAATACATACTAAGATTTTTTCTAAACAGAAAACAATTACAGTAAAAAATATAATTATATTGATGTATATTGTGTAGCTGCGTTACTCACCAGTGTGACAAAAGCATTTTCCATTTCAGTTAATTGCTCCTTCAACTGTTGATTTTGTAAAACGGCTCTAGATGCGCCAAGTTTTTCGCTTTCAAGAGCTTGTACCAATTTTACTGCATCTGCTTCATCATCTTTTGTATCCCGTAATTCTTGCACTTCTTTTATTAACATTTCAATTTCCATTTCCTAAAAGCGTTATATTATCAAAAACCATTTTTTCTACAAGTTTTTTTATAAGCTTCTATTTTCTGTGCATGTTTTTACTTTTTCTGACAACATGGTATGAAGTTTTTCCTCCCGCGCAGTCAATTCCTCAATATTTTTCATTAAACTATTTATCTCATCATTACGATTTTGCAATGGAAGTAAAGATTCATTTTTCTCTTTTTCATGTTGAAGTTGCTGTTCTAAATCTGATAAACGTTGTACATAACTTCTCTCTCTGCTTTCTAAATCACTGATCATTTTGTTTCCATTTTCAATCTGCAATTATTTAATTAGTTTTCTATTATTTTATTTTTTATGAATAGAGCATGTTACATGTACCTCATTAAGCAATTTTGCTTGCTGTGCATCCAACTGTCGTATATAATTTTGATATTGTCTACTGGTTTCATCCTTTTCATTATTCACTAGCCGCAAAGTTTCTCTCATTTGAGCCAATTGTTGTTCCAATACTGTGACAGTTTGATGCTGAGACTCTAATGTTTGCGATGTATCAGTTAACTATAATCATAAATTATTTAAATAATATATTTTTAATAAGTATTAGTTTTGGGATAAGATTGCGATCTTCAAGAATAATCAAACACAGAATTACCTGTTGTATTCTTAATTCATTTAAAGAAAGTAAGGCTGCTTTCTCTTGAAATTCCTGTTGCAGGCTAATGAATTCAGTATTCTTTAAATTCAACTTTTGTTTTAATTCTGAGGTTTCTAATTCCAGGTCTTCTTTTTCTTTTCTGCAAACAAATGAATTATTTTGCAATATATATTTAACAATAAATGAGTTCAGAAAAAAATTTAACCCCCATGTTTGTAATACCTGAGTTCATAATATTTTTTCTCAAGTTCATCATAAATTTGTTGTATTTGCTGAGCATTTTTTTGAGTGTCAGTAGAATTACTTCTTGTTTGAGCTAATTCTTTTTCCAACTCATTAATACGAAGCTGGCTATGTTTCAGTTTTCCATTCATCTCTTCTAATTCCTCTAAAAATCAGAGATATATTTAAATAAAGTAACAATCAGCAAATTTTTTTTAGAAAATCTGAGTTAAAGAATATTTAGGTCAATATGAGCTTTTAGTGTTTGAATGGAAGCGTTGATAATCAGATATACAGATGATATACTGATTTTAGATTCTCACTTAGATCAGAGATTTCATTATAACAATATCATTAAGATTTGAAACATTTGCAGGATAAATTTTAAACATTCAGATATTTTACACATATATTAACCTGCATTTTGTTTTGCAGTCCTCTGACTTTGTGCCAAAGCTGCTGTGAGTTCTGCTTTTTCTGCTATCAAAATGCCAGTAGTTTGTGTATGAACTTGCAATTGCTCCTTCAAAGGATTTATTTCGCGAACGAGTTTGGCTTCAAACTCGGAATCTTTTGTAGCAAGAATTTCTTCCAATTCAGCAACTCTGCTATGCTATTATATTTCCACATATAATAACAATGAAATTAGATATAATACAATATAATAGTTACAGAGCATATGCAAATAAAACTATTGGATATTATATATATTTAAACTATTTACTCACGTAACGACTGACTTGAATGTGTAAATCATTCACAAGCTGTCTTTGCTCTTCCAGACAAGTGGTTAAGAATTGATTGCGACACTTCAGATCATTATCAAACAAAGATGGATCACTATTGTCTGTATCATCAGTAAGCACATTAGCAACTTCTGTAGCCATTTCTAACAAATGTTCTGTTTGCACTGTTGATGGTCCATTAGATGTCACTATATTTAAGTTATATCTCTTGTCATTTTCCATAAACTGTGAATCTGCCTGAAGATGTGTAGAGTCTTTATCACCACTTTCATATAATATAGTGTTTTCTAAACAATTTTCCAAAACAGGAAAGTTTTTTTCTGTTTTTTCATTTGTTGCAATTTTACTGTCGTTTTCTGTCGTATTTATTAAGTTATTAGTATCACTAAAAGCATGATTCAATACATTTTCTTCCTTATGTATAATGTTTATTTTATCCAGATGTCCCTCAGGTTGGATTAAGTTATCTGTTTGTTTTATCTCATTGTGATTGTTTTGATCATAAGATTTATCCACTTCTATAGTTTGGCAATTTGTTTGGCACTATTAGAAACATTATTCCAATATTAAAATTTTTATATACAAAATATTTGAATCTTAATTGTAAAACCTTAATAATATTATTTTTATATATAAATTTATATTATGAGTTTTTCATAAAATAAAAAGATTGTTAATTAAGTTTATACATGTGCATTTATACATTTAAGAAACAGCATATAATATTTATTAATTATATATCATTATCGTATGAAATATATATTATCATTATGAAATAATTACCTGTGATATGGATTCATCTATTATATTTGTATCTTGCTGCTTGTTTGAGGCCTCTTGTGCTTGCAATCTTTTTTGTAATTGGAATTCCTTTAGCTATAATAAAAATCATAAAGAAAAGTCAGAAGTTTATTAAAATTAGTCTACTCAAGAGTTAAAAATTGAATAAAAAAATAAGAAATAAACTATTCTTATATTCCATTCTAATAGTTTGTAACATTTAAAAACTTGATAATAATTTTATTTTATAACATCATTAATTTACTTGTGTGTCAATAAAAAGATTGACAATAAGATAATGCTCTTGCATCACTGCAGATTAATTAATCCATACTATTAGCTATTTATATCGAATATGCATGTATAATATAGCTCCGAAAGTTGTCAACGATCATCCGTGACACATTACCTTCTTTTTAGCAGCCAACAATTTCTCTGTTTTACTCAGATTCATCGTGCGACAACTTTCGTTACACGGTGTTCGTCAAATGTCACGTCGCATAAAAAATTCTAGAAACGCTTTACATCGTCAAACCGAAAAATATTGTGGAATGACGAAGAATAGGCGGAAGGGTTATGTCACGTCTACGTGTACCGCAGAGCGCTACACATTTACGTGTCATACGAATGGCCACTTGTCAGCAGTTGTCATCACGTCACATTCGCTTTCAAGGCAATAAGGATGTGTTTTGACGCTACGAAAAATTTCGAATCGTCTAATTAACCAATGAGAACGAAAGAGCAAAGATTCCTTTGTTTTGATTGGTCCGTCAAACGGTTTGAAGTTTTCGTAGTGTCAAACGAAACGCTTCCGCTACCATATGCTCTGACATCTCTAACGTCAGGCACTTTCGAATCAAGCGCATCCCATCTAGACATTTGCACATTTATGACTTACAATGAGAGCTAATGGGCAATTAAGTGTGCTGCGACATAATCCAAAACAATCGCTAAGAATTGACGGTTAGTCAGAGTTGTTTTTAATTTCATTTTAAAGATGGGTAGAATTATTTAGTACTTGGAACTCAACTATTCTCATATTTTATGTCCTGGTGTAATTGAGTATTACAGCTCCATAGAGTTGAAAGCAACCTAAAAAAAAAAATTAAGAGTTGACGGCTTGAAGGTTTGAAACACGTGATATTTATACATTTATTTAATATTTTTAAAGAGACGTATGTTGAGTTCGTAAATTGAATAATTTATAGTGAGGTGTATCATCGTTTTCAAAAATGCACACGTCTGCTAACTTTATTCTACGTGGCGGCGACGCAGCGTTCGCTAATAGACAGAGATTATTATTTGATCAGCTTTCGATTGCCGAAAACAGTTGTAATAAACGTGTCAGATCTGAGGTGGATGATGAAATGGACGAATGCGAGAGAAATTTAATCTTGAGAGATGATCAGAAACAGAAAAGAGAGACTAAAAAATTTCGCGGCAAGGAGAGTATCTTTAAACGTCCCGAGGGTCCAGCACCACGTACGAATTTCAGAAATATTCCAGACTACCACAGGAATCCGCACAAATGGGTCAAGTATAGTCTGGATGATGTATCCAGCGAAGACATGACGGAACGCAGCAATATGCAAGCTGCCATGTCATTTCTGAAAGAACTGAAGGCACGCAGAGAAAATGAAGAAGATGATGAATGTGAAGAGAAGATGGATATTGAATTTGAATCAGATTCGCAAGATTCTGTGGAGTTTAAATCTAAGAAACGTACATCAACATCACAAATAAGATTTAGAAAACCACAGACCAAAGATGCGGCAGAAAACTCTGAAACAACTGTTACAGACAGCACACTTGTTTTCAAAAGTAGTAAGATTATCTTGCCAGAGTACGTGGTTGGACAGAGACCGAAGAAAATATCTAAACAGAATAGACCTGTGGTTAAGGTTGATCGTTCAAAACAACTTAGATTAGATCATTTACAAGAACCAGACGAAGAAGAAGATAACAGAGACGTATAGTGTATAAAACTATTGTACACAAATATTTGTAAAGATTAATTATAGATATTGTCACATGACAACACATATTTTTAGTTTATTTTATTTTTAAATTGGGATTTCAAAATGTACGGATGTTTATAATCTTTATAAACAAATATAAATACTTATTAAAATTCATGCATATTTTTTAATTGATATCTGCACAATATTCAGTGCAAATAAGATTATACACTATATTACACAAATAAAAAATGAATTAACGAATATAAAATATTTAATAACAAGTATATAAATATTTAATCTCTTATAAGATAATCTAATTATTTCATCTATATATCATGTAATACCAAGAAAAGAAAAGAAATAGAAATAATTAACAAACAAGTGGTTATTATATGCTTTATCACAGTTTTTTGTCTACCATTTTAATAAATGCGCTTTTGTTGCTAAACATAAAAAGATTGTAAGGTAGTTTTTTTTTCGTTATTTCTCGTCTTTAATAGTTTGAAATACAAAGATTATATTAGTAATTATTTATTTATATATTAATAATTATATATAGTCTGTTTTTTATAGCTGTACTGGCTGCACTAATTCAGAGTTTATCTTTTTCTCTTCACATTGGAAGAAGAAAGATAAGCTCTGAACTAGTGCAGCTAGTTCAGCTATAAAGAACACATCAAAAACAGCAGTTGAGGCCATTTTCTATCCTGTTCATGATCAACAGTCACGATGTATAAATATCTAGATACGATATATACGACTCGAGCGCGCCAAAAATTGATGCAACTTCATGGCATTGGCATCTGTTGGGTGTTGGGTTAGGTGTGATTCCTATCGGCAGAACCATTCACCGGTGTAAAAGATTCAAAGTCTCGTGGAAATAATATCGGCTGTCCGAGTTGCTGTTGGACTTTGGTAAGTGTCGTAAGCGAAAATGAATTGCAATCGTGACGAAACGTACCGTTTACGTGCATTTACGACTTACGAATTGCGCGTGCAAGGGGGGGGGGTGTTATAACCTCAACTCTTCGATTTTCAAAATGGCGTATGCCCGTTTCGAGAGATAGGCGGAAAGCTCGCGCGTCGTTATCGTGTTAAGTTCCCTCTTGAGCTTTCATCGTTTTATATCGTGAGCACGATTATCCCGTTCACGCGAAATTTCCGCTAATGTAGTTATAGACGTAGAGTGTAGAAAATTTTCTTTTCTCTCTTTCGTATATTTTTTTTTTCTTTCATTTCTTGATGGAAATCCCGACGGAAATTTTCCTCGCGGCGTTCTCCGTGATATTCAGTCTACTAATAGTATTCCTCCTTGTTGTGATGGGTAAGCAACTATTATCGACTCGATTATGAAATATGACGTAATCATATAATCGGAAGTTTCTTGGCTCGCAAGGGAGGTTGTGAAAGTAGCCTCTCCTACTTTATGTTGCGTTGAATGTATTGTTATTTATGTACATACACTATACATGTATGATTATGTATAGGTATAGATAGGTACCCAAGCACATTCTAATAATTTATAAATTTAATGCAACTCTTTTATGTTGTTCCCTCTACTACTTTTCTATCTACTTCTAATTAGCATATCTTACTTGCATTATCACGATCGACATATTTACATCGTTTTTTCGAAGAATAGTATTGTAAAATATATTTGAGTATGAAATTATAATATTTGAATCTATAAAAGTTAATAAAATAAAAATCTAGATTAGCTATTTAATCATGTAAACAAATTTTCAAATTGTTTTCAATTCAAACGCTAAAAGTTAGTGAATATAATTTATATATTTTATATTATTATTGCTTTGTTTTAATATCGAATTAATATCACATAATAATTTCTTTTGTCACAGGTTGGTACTTAGTCTGGACGTTCTTCCTATCGCGATTCCGCTTTGTAAGAGAATTGACTGGGAAAGGAATGAGCGAATCGTCGTCCGTTAACGATTTGAAGAACGGTCGCTCACGTATTAAGAAACTTCGCCGTGATTAATTGGACAATATTAAAGCTATCACATTTATATGAACGACTGCATAAGACAAAACATATCTGACTAAGATGTCTGTAAATATACGTTGTGCAACTACAGAAGACTTATTAAATATACAGCATTGTAATTTGCAATGCTTACCTGAAAATTACCAGATGAAGTACTATCTGTACCACGCTCTTTCCTGGCCGCAGCTAAGTTATGTGGCTGAAGATGAGAAAGGAAGAATAGTAGGATACGTGCTCGCCAAGATGGAGGAGGATTGCGAAGACAATCCCCATGGACATATTACCAGTTTGGCAGTGAAACGCTCTCATAGAAGATTGGGAATCGCACAGAAATTGATGAATCAGGCGTCTAGAGCGATGGTGGAATGTTTTGGAGCGAAGTACGTTTCATTGCACGTTCGCAGAAGTAATCGTGCAGCTCTCAACTTATACACAAGTAGTTTGCAATTTGAAGTGTCTGAGGTAGAGCCGAAATACTACGCGGACGGTGAAGATGCTTATGCAATGAAGCGAGATCTCACTAGCTTTCACCATGAAAAGGCTCTT